CGAGCGCCCGGCCGGCCGTCGCGGGGTTTACAGCCCACGGTGCGCAGGAGGCTGCAAGGGAGAGGACAGCCCGGAGGATGCTTTTCCATACCAAAAGTCTCCTGTGGTCCCAGTGAGAAGCAGGCATGGGTTTCTGTGTGGGCTCTTTCTCCGGCACAATGGAGCCTTTCTGGGGGCGGCAGCCACTTCACAGCACAGTGACTTTTATTTACTTCTTGTGGCTGCAAGTTCTCGACCTTCGGCCATGGCTCTCCTTCCCCCATATAACTTGTATATAGATAGATGGATAGATATAGAAGTTGTGTATATATACCTCTCCCGTATAACTGGTGTGTAACATATAGCTTGTGCTTTGCCATCTCTTGGATTATTTTCTACCAGTGAATGGCTCAAACACCATTCATCTTAAACTGGTAATCCTATGATTAGCATTACCTAATCCGGAGAAATACACCCCATGGATGTGCCTGTGCCGCAGGACGGGAGAGCTGGTGGGCAGGGCTGATGCGGGAGGCTCCGGGGTCAGGCGGGGCGATGGAGCTGCAGTGCTGTAAGTCGTGAGGCCACTGCCAGCGCAGTGTCCAAGTCTTTTGTTAAATGAATGTATTAAACAGCTGTCTCGGGCTGAGATTAACAGGTCCATGGGGTTTAAGGGCAGATTGATGGAGATGAACTGAACTGGCACGCTCTCACACTAAGATTAACATCTTCTCATGAGTGGGGTTTTCTAAAGGGTGATGTTTAAGTGGAATGAATCTCTGTAAGCCATCATTAAAGTTATTTTTTAATTTTTTCCCCCCATAAGATTATGAAATGGGTACTCCTAGAAGGGACAGACTGAATCCCCAGCAAGAGCATTCATCTTACTAAAATGGCTTCGTAGTCCTCGTGGCAGCAGCTGGGATTCCATGGCTGCCTGCGGGATTTGGAGACGCAGTGCTGCAGCACGTCGGCCAACTCGGAGAGGGTTCAGCTCTGCTGCTTTGCCCTGTTCTGCTAACGGCAAATGGTGGCAGAGGAGAATGATGGACATCTCCCCTGGCAGCAGCTGTGTGGTCACAGGAGGGTAACAAGGCTCCTCATTAACCTGCCTATTAATACCTCTCTGAGAAGGGGTTGGGCAGGAGCTTTTTAAGGGAAAAGGGAGGAGAAGGGTGCTGGGAGTGGCTCATCAAGGAGCCATCTGTGCAACTCTGTTAAAGGATGCTGTGGAAAGTTTGTGTGGGTGCAAGGGGAGGCTGGAGAAGTAGCTTTGAAGCAAGCTGAGTTGAGGGCTACCAAGCTGGTAAACCATGCCGGCCGTGGGAACCTCCCCAGGATAGCTGACGTCTGGGTGAGTCCTTGGGAAAGTGTTGCCTGTGCTTGTCCTGTTCCCTTCCTGGGCCGCTCATGCCTGGCCACCGTGGTGTGCCCCTGTGCTGTGACCTGGCCCCGCAGCCCGAGCACACATGGCTGTGCCTGTGCAACCCAGGGCTCACTCTGGGGTAGGGAGGCATGTTTCATGGAGGCTTCCTGCTCTCGTCTTGGTCCTCTGGACACACAGCTCTAAAAGTATGTGCAGATCTGCCCAGCAGCTCTGCTCCTGGGGTTTGGAGGGGCCCAGGGGGAGTTGCAGGTGACCTGTGCTGGGGGAAGCCATGAGGACTCCTTCAGTCGTGCCTCTCAGCTCTGGTTTGGTGTTGGTCCTGCTAAACCCAAGCTGCGATGTCT